AAGTTAGACATATGATTGGAATGAAGACTCTCAAGCACTCACGAGTTTTCTTTCGTTAATGCGTTCCTAGCTTCTTTCGTTTTCCGCAGGTCAGTGGACATGGAAGCCCACGCCTCATCGTCCGGAAGGTTGGCATCATTGTACATGCTGTCCAGTTCCTCGTTGAACGCCTGTACGAAGATGAACACCGCGAAGGAAAAGAATATTCGACACAGCGCACCTCGTACATGATTTCCTTCTCTGCGGTAGCATCGGAGAGCAAGCTTTTTACCAACTCACATTGTCGCCGAGCGTTCTGGAGCTCAAGTCGCGTCTTTTCGAGCTCTGCTGATCTCTGCCGTAACGATATATCAGGATGAAAAGTCAAAGAAAGTAAATGCATTACATCTTTCAGATCGTCAGCCAGCTGTTGAATGCCGTTTTCCAAAGCTTCATGGTTCGACGAGGCACGTATTAGACTCGAGTCCGCCTCAGTTACCAATGTAGTCAACGAGCGGTGTATATCATCTGTCCGGGTTGAACCGGAGGACCGCACGGGAGTGTCGACTGCCATGCTAAGGGGGCGACTACGAGGAGTACCTTCGCCTTGTCGTTGATTGATGAGTTGCCGCATCTCTTCCATCCGGTCGAGAGCTGCTTGGGTCTGGAAAGAATGATGAGCGCAATCCGATTGGAAGTTGGTATGATTTTCACCATTGGAGGCCCACGCTGGGGAGTGCGAAGGGCTTTGCTGGGCGATGCTGGTCGTACTATTTCGTCCGGCCCACACTCCGACCGCAGCCCGTCAATCTCGAGCCTCATACGCTTAACAGCTCGGTGAGACGATTCGACCTAAGAATTTGTCAACAACGTTTTTCGTTTAAGCAAACAAATCAACGGCTACATCCTCCTTGGTCTTCTTGGATAACTGCACCAACCGCTCCGGCGGTTCGTTCTTGGACGGACTCCGCATGGAAGTGGCCCTGGTGCTACGCACTTGAGGCGAGACCCTACGCGGAGAACCAACAGTTCGCGGACGTGACAATGGGGAGCTCCGAGATGGGGGTTTTCGCGACGCTTCAGTTGTTACTGAGGCCTCTGTGCCGCGCACCGAAGTTTTCTTCTTGATGGATAATGGTTCAACGCCGCTGGGAGTGGGGGCACTGCTAACAGGTGGTTTGGGGGTCGCGTCTATATTACCAGCCGGGAAGAAGGGTTGACGTTTACTCCGCGGGATGCCGGTAGCTCGAACAGGGGCTGAGCGTTGGAGTCGGGCGGTGTTTTCGAGAGCAAGGTCATCGTCCATGGAAGGGAGTTCAGTCGTGGAAGCCTCCATGCGCGGACTTCTCGTTGGAGGAAGCGGGGAAGGGCTTCTGGGTCCTAAAGGACGTCTCTCAGAAGAATGCTGCGACAGAGATCGGGTTTGCCGTGAAGGGGATCCTATCGGAGCGTTAGAGTTTAAGTCCGGTCGAGTCGTAGAGCTACGAGTGTTCGTGTCCCTGGAGGCACGCGATAGCGGTCGTCGAGGGGGTTCGTCTATACATCGAATAAGATTTTGATATTTCCTAATTAGGCAATTGAACCTCGTACCTTCGTAGATCGTTGACTCGGACGGGTTCTGCAAAGGAACATGACTGAACGGCTTGCCGTGTTGGTTTTTGCTGTTCTTTCTTGCCAACGCTAATTGCATGGCAAGATCCCGCTCGGTAGCATCCATATCCCGGACGTGGTCCAGAATCGTGCCGTCGTCGTCGTCGATGTCGCTGTACTCCAACTCGGGCTCCCTCGAACTTGAACGAGAGCCACTTCTAGAGCCGGTCCTCGACAAACTCCGACTTGGTGGCCGGCTTTCTGGCTCCGGGGTCCCACCAGGCGATCTGCTCTTCCTGAGGACACTCCGTGAGCGTGACCTCGAGGAAGACCTCGTACGGAACGAGTCGTCCTCGATGGACGTCGCGGTGGAATTTGACCGTTGAGAGAACTTGGTCAAGCTTCCATCTCCAGTCGTAGTGGTTTGGGTATACGTCGACGAGCGACTCGCCGTAGATTTGGTGCGCTTATGGCTATTGACGGAGCCGCCGAAGAAGTCACCCATGGAGGAACCCGGGCGCGTGTTGAAGAGATTCCTCGAGATGGCGTCCAGACCGAAGATCGCAGCCTTGGAACGAGCAGTTGGAGTCGACGGCGCAGAATTCCGTCCCGTTCGGAACTCGAACAACCCGAATTGGTGGACTGAAGACAAGTGAGACAAACATCAAAAGATGAGGATACGACTCACTCGTGAGCACGATCCGGGATGGAACCCTGGTGGTCTGCACAATGTCCTCCTCGCCTGGGTCAGACGGATCACTGGAAGTGACTTTATACCGACAGAGTCCACCAGCCATGGGTTGCAACCGAATGACACCGAAAGGTGGTGCACCAACACCAAACGGGATCCTATCCGCTGAACCCAGCGCATCAATATGCACCACGATCTTGGTCTTCAAGAGAGAAAAAAACATCAATACGCTGCTCCTTCAAGTGATGACAAGTTTCTTTACCTTTTTCGGCTCTTGGAGAAAAGCCGTTCGCTGGTAAACATTGTAATACGTCCGAGCGACGGTGGTTCGACCACTCTTCGACTCTACTTCCATCTCATCTGCTCGCAGCACGACCGACTGGCCGGATCGTGTACGGTATGCAGCCTGGACTTGCCATAGATTCTCCAAGAATCGCTGCTTGTCCAATTCGGCTTGCACAGGATTGAGATTGATGGGGGCAGGGGGGTGAACCACGGCCAGTGATCGGAAAGCGCGCCCGGCCCACCGCTCGTTCTGGTCAAGGGGAGGGTTCTCCAAATACAAGTTGATGTCTTCAAACGCCAAGATCAGTGTCGAAATTGCGGATAAAACAAGTGATCCTACCTGCACCGCCAACATCGGTGGCAACGACCTCAGTCACATCAACAACTCCTTTGCACGTCATTCCGCTCTTCTTCTTGCCACTCGGTCGCCCACCACCCTTTGTTAATTTATCGAGCTCGTCGAGCCCTGCAAGAGCTCGACCACCCTTCTCGCCGTTTCCAGGCCGTTTAACGATGAGGAGTTTGTCGTCGAAGAGAAACAAGGTGCAGTGCAGTGAACCCGCGGAAGAACTGCTAACCGATGCGGCCGATGAAGTAGGTGCGTCCGACTGAATGTCCTCGACGTCGATACAGTCGATGAACCGTCGCGAGTTTGAAAACAAGTCAGGCGGAAATCCATCGATGGTTGCGCTGAGGCAGTAAAATATGGCCGCGCGTTTGGTTTCTTCATCTGGTTCTGCATGTGCGATCTTGCTAGCAAGTTCGTCTGCTTCGACGAGTTTAGCCCGTTGTGGATCATTGGGAGCCATGTGTTTGATCATCGTTCGAAACATAAGGGTGTACTGAGGTATTCGCTGCACCACATTTATGAGAAGTTCGCGAAGTCCGACCCGATTGCTCGACTCGGAAGCCTGGTATTTGATCCGCTGAAAAGATGCAAATATGTGAAGTTTGAGCAGAGGAAACAGTCGATGACCTACGTCAATGAATACCACGAACGGCGACGACTTTCTCGACATCTCCCGCTCCAAAATCAACTGGGCTTCCTCACGTTTGACGTAGAACTGTCTATACTGTTCAAAACCTCGCAGATCCTTGAAGTGGTGAAGGGCAACGTCTCCTACACCGCCCACCACCTGTGCACCATTCGGAGCCATCATCTTCTCCAAATCCGTCAGGAAAGCCTCGTTGACCGGAAGGAGATTATCCACGTTCCCGAAGAGCGTTTTGGCCTCGTAGGCAGGGATAATGGATGTGTTTTTGCTTCTAGCAAAGTTGCGTAAAGGGTCGGCGTAGTCGTTCTTCAATGACCGCAAACGCTTCACATATGATCGTTCCGTTTCCACCAATTCGTGGATGCTCGAGGCGAGCGCCGAGGAATCCGTGAGCGCGCGTTTCCTCGGGCCGACGCGATCCTGAGAAGGTGGATTAGTGCTGCAACTATAGGGGCGCCATTGAACGCGACAGGCGAGTAGAACTCGGGAGTGTGGTGGAGGAGCTGGATATAGCACCACTGAAGCTCTCGATGCTGTATTCTGATAGGGGGCAGAAAGCAGAAGACTTACGGGATTCGATGTGCCAGCATCTGGAGGGGACGAGAGAATGCTGCTGTCGGAGCTGGAGGCCACTTTGTCTCCGAGCGATAGGACGAGGTCCTGGATGTCTGACACCGAAAGTTAATGGTTTGGAGAACTGAATACTCGAGAATTCGGACCTTCAGGAAGGCTTCTACCATTCTCGGAGCCTTCTACGACTACCCCGCAGAAGAAAACGCGCTTTGTGAGGCCTGGGGCTGAGGAATCTGCGCGCGACCGCGTCTCTTCGCCGGTGGACAGAGGGATTATTTTGCGGGGAGAGGTGCTGAGGGCCATGATTGCCGCAGGGGCGGGGGTTAGTAGGAGGCGATAACAAGAGTATCAAGCTCTTCTCGGCGTCGCGATCGGAATGGAAGAGTAGGACGAAGTCAACACAGTGGCATCACACGGTCACGTGACTCCTTTGTCGCGTCCGAGAAATTTGCGTGACCGTTTCCAGAGGTATTCCTCCGCATATATACAACGAAATAGAAGAGATGGCTGTCCCCAGAATGCACGCAGGTGCCGAGCGGCCCGGAAGGAGGAGCCGAGAGGCCCGGCAGACCATCAAGCGGAGATTGCTGATGATGGGGCGCCGGGCCGGGCCGAGACCGCCGACGTGTGGCCGATAATGCCGAAACTGCCGAGGACGACCCGAAGATGGCCAAAAACCAAAAAGGCTGTCCCCTCTCATTGGAATGAAGCCGGCTTTGGGCGGACTAAAGTATCTGAGCCAGAGGCCAACACTCAAAAAAAAAGTGGTCTTGTCCAGCCTAGACATCACTTAAAAAAAATGGTCGAAACCAACCCTGACACATCACTCCCAACAATAAGGTCCGGCCACTCTTCCTTCAAGCTGGTGGCCGAGAAAGAAAAACAAATGTCCCCCATCGGAATCGAACCGATGTTGCTCGCGGTAGATTGCGTGAGCAACTCAGCGAACCACAAGCGAGAGTACTAACCACTATACTAGAGAGACTATGCCTCTGAATGCGTCTTATACTCATCCTAAGCTTTTTAAGAAAGCGTGTGTGATCCACGCCGCCCTCGCTTCTCTTTCTTTTTTTCAATGGCCAAGTCATTTCTTTTTCCGCGCTTTCAAGTTGTGGGTTCGAGTCATGTCGGCTCCAAATTAATCGTAGGGGCTTGAGCTAATGGCAGCTAGAGCCGGCTTAAAAGCTGTCGCATCCATTGGTGTCCGAAAATCTGTACCAAGAGTGCCTTCCCAAAAAACCATTAACATGGCTACTCAACCTAAACCTCCACGGGGACCATTCGATGTACATATAACGTTCCTTGGAACAGCTTCTGCCCAACCCTCATCGACGCGTATCCATTCCTCACTCGCCCTGCGCCTCGGGGCGGATATCTGGCTGTTTGACTGTGGAGGTACGCCACTTTTCGTCTTTATGTTTCCTTTCTAAAACCAACGTCTCCCAGAGGCAACACAGTCACGGCTACAGCAAAGTACATTGAAAATGGGAAAGATAGAGAAAATATTCATCACGCACACGCACGGTATGTCTGTAACAAAGTTATTGACATCTCCTTATTTCTCCAGGCGATCACATCTTTGGGGTTGTTCCCCTGCTCGCAGGCATTCTCAATGGCGCTGGTGGAGCTGCAGACGGTGCCGACGAACCAAGGAAGGCCGTGGACCCATACAACCCAGTATGAACGGAAAGTAATAGCCCACAACCAATAATTCACCAAGTTTCAGGTTATTGAAATCTACGGACCCCTGGGGACGCGCGCATACGTTCGCTCTTGCCTCAAGTACACGCACACCTTTTTCAGTCATGCATACGTGGTCCACGAACTCCGCTTGCCGCGCGACCCGCCAACAGGCGACTACACTCAGCTTCCTCGCAACCAGGCGGAAGCACCCTTTGGCCAGAATATCATGCAGGTTGGCGGGGTCTGGGAGAACATTTTCCAAGACAATGCGGTCTCCGTCTCCGCTGGGCCCATCCTTCACTCGGTCCCTTGTGTCGGCTACGTTGTCACAGAAGCGCCTCTTCCAGGAAAGATGGATCCCGCGAAATACATCCCTCATCTCAAACGTACAAATACTCCCATGAAAGTCATGTCGGAGCTGCAGCAGGGCCAGAGCGTTGAGCTCAGCGACGGGACTATTCTCCACGGGCCTCAACGGCGGCGAGGGCGAAAGATAGCCATTTTGGGCGATACACACAACCCTTCAGGGATAGAAAAGCTGGCCCTCGACGTAGACCTGCTGATTCACGAGGCGACTAACGCACATTTACCTGGAATCGACGAGGGCACAAAACTTGACGACACCTATGAGAGCGTGGAGGCGCGCACGAAATCTAGAGGCCATTCGACACCACAGATGGCCGGCGCTTTCGCAAAGCGCATTAGAGCAAAGCAACTCATTCTGAACCACTTTTCCGCCAGATACGCGGGGAACGACGACGTCGACCCTGAGGCGAAGGTACTTATGGACGCCATTGCGGGATTGGCGGCTGGAGAATACAACAAGGAGGTATTATGCGCTCGCGATTTGATGAGCGTCGCTGTTGCTGTACCACCAGAAGAAATATAACAATGTATTTCAGTCGTCTGGCGGTTCTGATAATGCACTGCTAGCATCGCTGGCATCACTGGCTTCGCCTTCTTCCAGTTCCTCTTCCCTCTTCTTTTTCCCCTTGTTCTTGGGTTCCTCCTCAACCTCGCCCATCTCGATATCGTCTTCCACCGCTTCTTCGGCGGGTACCACGGAGTCGGGCACAGTTTCTTCCTCTCCTTCCTCGACCTCCATCTTCTCCGAAACCGTCGCCGTGGCGTCGCCCGTGCTTTCCGGCCCAGGGGTGTCCCGCGGGGAGAGGTCCGTCGAAGTTGCCACCTCCCTGTCCTTGCCCATAAACCTCAGCGACCCTAAATCCGAAACGATGGTATCAAGCGCCGTCTTCTGCGCCTGAATGGTGCGGTTTTGTGTATCATGCTCGGCGCGAATTGCAGCCATGTCGTTCTCGAGAGATTCAATAGTCCTGTAAAAATAATTAGACAGCTGAATGAAGGAATTGGACGAAACACATACTGCTCGAGCTCTTCCCGCGTAGGCAGCGTATTGACCTTCTCCGCGACAAAGTCGTATTCCATCTTCCTTTTGCGCAGCATCTGCTCGTGCTCCAATCCCGTCTTGAGCTGCTCGATCTGCCCGCGCAGCGTCCCGTGCTCGTCGTCTGCCCATCATAAGCCTCATACACAGAGAATACTTGGTTGAACACGCACTTATTCTGTCCTTCTCCCGCTGATACTCCTCCACCTGGCGCGCCTCCGCCTCGCATATCATCACGCTCTTCCGCAGCAGCAGCTGGAACGACCCGAGCTCCACCAAAAACGCCTCTCGCGCATCGTCGACAGAGCTTAGCGTAGCGCCGTCCGCCGGAACCGAAGTGACCACAGGCGTATGCGAAAGCGCGGTATAGTTGTGAAACTTTTTTATCACCCGGCGCAACGGCCGCTCGTCGTTAGTTATGCGGGCAAGGATGATCTGGTCTGCGAATTAATTATCAGTTGACGCTACGAAGATCGACAGCGCCAGTTTCACCTTCTTCCTCGGTGGTCAGCGGCGGAACTACGACAGGCGCAGGCTGCGCGTCCGGCGGGGGCATGGTTGTCGGTGAAGAAGAAGAAAGAAAGGAAGGCTTCAGCCGATTCAAGGTTTGAGCCAAGAAGCTCATGCCCGAAAAAGGCAATGCAATTGCTCGACTCGCAAACATTCTTCCACAGAAATTACAGTTACCGGTAGTAGGTGTACATACGCGCTTCTAGTTTATTTAGATATATTAGCGATACATGTTCAAGTTCCCCAGTCGTCCAATACAAACGGTGTAACCAGCTCATAGGTATCCTCATTCAGCCCGCCGCCCTTCTTCTTCGACTTGTCTTTCCGCACCCCAGCGCGCCCAATTACCTTCTTGAACAGCCCACCCACTCTACTCCGCTCCCCCTCCTCCCCGTTCGACTCAACGGGATAACACGTCTCCACCATCTTCGCAAGCCTGCGCATTCCGCTGCTGCTGTCGTTCACGTATTTCCTCGACTCCTCCAGGGCAGCCTGGAGATACATCGCCATATTGGGGAATGTAATGGGGAGGGCGGGGAAAGGCACGGCAGCGCTGGACGGTATCGTGTAGCATTTGGACAATAATGTGTCCGAGCTATCACGAAGCAGCGCAGGGATACTGGAGAGGGTATACGACCACGGAAGCACATCCACATCGTTGTTGGTGTATTTCCGTGCCCCCGGCAAGGAAGCCGGGACGGGGTGGTCGATGGTAAACCACAGCAGCGCTCGCCAATCCGACGAAGATTGGTGCATCTAAACTCGAGTCAGCTCGTCCACAAAGGATAAATTTAACAAAGTGCTTACCCGAACGAACTGCACCACCGTTCGTAGATGCAGTTGCGACGACCTTGTTACCGCCAGGGCCTCCACTGTCGGCTCGATTCTGGTTCCGCTTAACCGAGCCATCAGCTTGAGCAAATGGCGCCAACTTGGCGCTTGCATGTGCAGGGGTGGACACCGCCCGTATGGCAGCGAAATTATGTTGGGCATCGCTTGTTGCATTGGCAGTAACTCCGGGGTTATTGACGGAGCCACGAATCCAATCGCTAAGAAACAATAATTGAATCGAGCGGTGCAGAACAAAATGAAACAACTCACAAACACCGCGCAAAACATCATTGTCGAGGAATTGGTTGGCACCGGCGGCCGGCCGCCCCTCGCTATCTAGCGAGGCAGAAGATAGGGATCGAGGGTTTTCAGGCGGGTAGAGTTCCGGCGCGCTCGCGGGACGATCTATAACCAGTATCGGACTGTCATTGGGATCGACCCATGTCAGCTCCGTTCCCGTGGATCTCGACCTGAGAAGATCTGGGGGCTCCGGGCTCTCAGTCTCAATCGACAGCGAATTACTACTATTCGTGTGAGAAGGAAGATCGGGGGGATCCTGCGGAGGCAGCGTCTCCTTTGACTCCCGCGCCAAAACCTCCTCCTTGAGTGCCAGCTGCCGTGCAAACTTCTCGTCGGCGGACAGTGCCGTCTCGTCTGGTAAGGCAGGGGGAGCGCGGCGCGGCGAGTAGACAGGTAGATCGCTGCTATCCGAGGACGGAGGACCAACCGAACCAGTCACCACCGACTTGTCCGGGGCCTTTGCATTTTTGGGAGGCGGTAGCGGTACGCCGTTCGTGACCCCGTTCCGCCCAAAGAAAGTCTGTGTCGGAGTTTGCTCGTCCGTCCAGGCCAGCAGCTGGGCAAACGCCGCGTCGTCCATGTACGCGGCTTCCGGGAAATCGCTGGTCACTGGTGACAATGTATTGCTCGATGATCCTGCGACTATGCTGTGGGACCCGCCCCCAGACGAATATGAGGTTGACCAGACCGAGTTTGACATGGACGCTTCCATTGCGCGCGCGAAATCAGCCTCCTCCTGGCTCAGCATCTTCTGCTTGAGCTTCTCCTGGCGCATAGTCTCCGCTTGCGATAGCGCAAGGACCGCAGCCAACTCGGCGAGCTCCGCGTCGTCCTCTCTCGCGCCTTGGGCCGCCGGCGGCTGCGGTTCTTCTTCAGAAACGGACGGCGGCGCATGGGTCAGCTGCGGCTCGCTGACGGGGCGCGGGGGTCGTGGTGGGTGAGTAGCCATTGGTATTTTCGGGGGTATCGGTGGAGTAGACACAGAGCTTCCATAGGAATACGGATGCGGGGGTATCGGTGGTGCTGTGCGGACGCGTCGTAGGCCAGGAACGACGTAGCCCTCCGGGTATGGGATGCGAGGCGGCGGGGGCCCATGAGGGAGCGGCGGGGGCGTTGGTGGGTTAACGAAGAATACATCGGCGTTGTGGATCGATGAGGGGGCACTTGCTGCAGCTCCTGGGTGAGCCACTGTGAGCATCGGGGGCAGATACACGCCTGGCGCTGTCGATGAGCGCTTTCGTGGTCGCGATTCCTCG